TAATTTTAGGATATCCTTAGGTACGGGACTCACGTGAGAAATCAAGTGTGATTATTTGGTTATAGAATGATGTAATCAGGTTATTGTCATCCGACCGTGTTACCAGTTCACCGTGGACAATTTTAGAAAATACCCAACATGAAAACTCGTTTACAAATGAAATTGTAATTTGGCGTGTAATTAAGTCGGGGTTACCTCACGTGAGTGTTTAGCGCCGCATGAGACCGGAAATACATGTAATCAATTGATTATATATATAACACCTATCGATCAGTGTTGGTAAGATATTAATTTTAAATGCGTGTTTAACGGAGCTTCACATTACTATTGATCATTATTCAAACATCAGGGTAGTGCGGATGTTGATAAAACATACATTTGTGTCCTGTCATAGTAGCTAGACCTGTATTACAGTTCTCTGAGATAAACATGCAGCCATGTGGTTTCAAGGTTTGAATAATTTATTGATGTTAAAACCTATGGCTTTATGGAAAAAAACGTCTATATTAACATTATTACGAAATCGTGTTTATACCACGTGAACACTGAAACAATATGTATATTTTTATGTAAGCGAAATAAAACTACACAAATGAGATTCTTTATAGCGGGTAGCAATATTGTGGTGCGTTTAACATCCACGACGCATAGCCTTAATGACACAAATTGCTCTAGATATATAGCTGAGTAGGCGCATTTACCTCCTGACCGTTAGCAGTTTACGGAGCTAACGGGTTTATTCTGAAACTGATAATACTTTGTTATACTCAGTCTTGAAAACTGAGAGAAGACGTTCTGAAATAGCATTGGTGTCATTGACCGTTCCCAGGGTAAAAGCTGTAAGAGATTGAGATGCTTACTTGGAGTTAAAGAACTTGTATTGTTGTCGAAGTCTTTGTAAAGGAGGTAGTGGTGTACAAGTTGAAGTTACAGGTCGCTTTACATCCTCGATACTCCAGGAGTTACGATCACTTTCGCTCCCTGATTCTCCTGGAATCAATTATATGTTCAAGAGGTGCAGAGAGCGAAGGTGATTGTAACCACTGGAGTATCGAGGATGTGCTAGCCTCTTCTAATTGAGCGGTGAGATGTACTGTTTGGGACCGATCGTGAAGGTTCGCTAATTTGAACTTCAGTAGTGACAACGTGTTTTGCATTATCCCTTACAATGAAGCCCCTTCAATATGATTTACAATGTATATTTACCCAAGGGAATTTGCGAGAAAAAAAATACTCGAGTGTACTTTATGGTAATTACAAAACCGATTTTCACAAGATTTGTTGTGTAATGTTTTCGGGCGTCTTGATGCCAAAGGCTGCTGGTTCGGGTGCCAGTGGTGTGATCAATATCACACTCGTCCATCACCAAGAGTTCGATCCGCCTAATCGCCCGTACAAATGTATTCACAAAGACCTTGCAAAGTTGTTTGTTTTCACTTTCAAATAAATTGATGACGTCTTGTCTTTAAATAACAGCAATGTATTGACCATGTCCATCGCGCAGTTTTTATCAGAGCTATGATTCAAGGTAACAGCAGACTTTTCTACTTCAGCAACTTATCTCTATCTTTTCCTACAACAAAACCAACGTGAACAGCTGTACGCCAATCTGTGTGATAAGCATCAATTTCATGGAATTTTCATTTATGGATTGCAAAGTTATTGCAGCTCCAGTCTATGGTGTTTAAGCGCCACAGTTGATTTGATATTCAAGGGCTTGTTCCCATTATCATGATTTTCGTGCACGAAGTCGTCAACTGACCGACAAATTCACAACCTAAGGTTTTGACAGCCTCAGATTGATGGAAATTGTCAGGGAAGTTTTATGGTAGTCACAGTTATGTCACTGAGAAATATATTCCCTTGCATGACTGTGTTTGATGACAACGCTGTTTACCTTGTTCTCATTTGGGAACTTGACATTACTTATTTGTATTGATCACTATCTACATTATTAGAGTGGTCGGCTGGCTCACGCACTCGCCTTTCACTAAGATGAAAAGGTATTGGGTCACCTGCCCAACCACGTGGGCTTTCACGAATACCATGTTTTTCTGCGACTGTAATATCATTTCGCCTCAATTGGAGCCAACAAGAGTGCTTATATAAGCTGATAGTTTGTCACGCAATTGTAAAATTCCTTAACACATGGTCCTATTATCTTTGTACATTTTCATTAATCTCCATGTAGATCTATGGTGTTTAGACTTGGTTGGTTGACAAGTTTTCCGTCTCCAAGACTCTTCCTGTGCCCATGTATCGTCTTACCGACGAATTTCAGTGTTCTGGTGGCGTGGAACTGGTGTTTAGATGTGGTGTTTTCATTATTAATGACAATATGACGTTTTGTTTCTACTCGAACTTTACTTTACGTATTCAGAAAGAATGTCATAATATCGATTTAATATCGATTATATATATATATTAACGACCATGACCATCACATACAACAGCTCATTTGAGTAAATCTTGACTAAATTAAGATTATTTGACTTTTTAAATTCTAATTGAAGTTTTTCAGAGTTACCTCCTATCAACTACGTAATAATTACCTTTATATTGCATACTATTGAATAATTGATGATGATTTGAGTTTGAACAAAATCAATATTACCAAATTATACTTTTTACCACTTTAAATGGACGTTTTTATATGTAGGTTACATGATGCTTCGTGGTGGTTGAATAAAAGATAAAAGTGTAAGTATACAAGTCAGTCTTTGAGACTGTTTTATATGGCCTTGAAATGGGCGTGGCATAATATATACATATCTGTATCACTGGGGATAGAAATGGCGACATTTTAATTAAAGCAGAAATGCTCAAAGTATGTAAATAGTTATTGCAGTTAAGCTTGTAAAAGTAATAATAAAACGAACCAAGAAATGTAGTCAAGAACATTTTTATGTGTCTGAAATGCACCAGTTCATATAAAAGCCAATGGCATACAGAAACCAACAAGTTATATACAGTAAAACACATTTCATTCATCATGTGTAAAATATCAGTCTCGGGGATGTGTGTACGTGGCGATGTATCTATTTTTTGTGATAAATGGCATTCTTCACTTCATTACAGTTAAGATCAAGTTTTAAAAAATGAAAAAAAAGATGAAATAAAATAGGACATTCGTGAGAACTCATTCATATCTTTTTGAATTATTTTTAAGGCAAATATAAGCTAGAATTGCAAATTCAAATTAAGTTTGGATGAGGATAAGATCTGGAACAATAATCACCTAATATCGTACGCGGTAGACCATCAATATCTCCCTGTTGTCTACGCGCCACAGGGTGTTGATCACCATCCCTTTAAGTCCAATTTTCATCACTATGGCACGATAACGCGTATCACACTGATCAGTGGCGTTACAAGCCTAGCCATTGGTCCTATCTAATGTGGTTAACAGTCTACAGGTCCCTATTATTTCACATCTGACATGGAATAACATTAATCGACAACTTCCTAATATTTAACGGTAAAGAAAGATACACAATCAAAGGACAAGGTAGTCATCGGGAATTTAATGGTAATGAATACTCAAGTTTGCTAATAATTGACAAATGATTCCTGATGTCAATATGCTATTTATTGGTTATACATATATTGTGGAACAACATTGCACACAATAATAAAAACTGCAGTTTTCATTAATTTGAAGAAAAAAATAAACAGCGGTTCCTTTCATAATTTTGATGTCAGTATGTAAAAGGTGTATATCTACGAATTCAAAAATTACTTTGTGTTTAATTTTGAGATTTTATTCTAATATGTATTCTACCTTATAAATATCACGAATATAGGCTACAGTACTAAAATAATTCATCCTGTTGAATGTAACATACCTTGGACCGATCGATATTCTCGCAAGGATGTCTGTACATGTATCTATATATGTCATGATAATATTGCCAATTAAAAGGTTACATTAATCAGACGATTTTTTTTTCGAGTAAGTAAATGAATGATTTAGTTTGATGATTATTTTTTCTTTAGAAATACATTTCTATTTCTAATTGCAAAACATTTTATCCAGGAATTTATTTTTTGAACGAAATATATGTCAAGGACAACTAAGTGAACAAAGTATTCTCAACCACCTGTTAAAATATCTTAAAATCTACTGATCTCTTTCTCTAAATGAGTAGCACAGGGCCACACATCAATCAAAATCATATATCTCTAACGTATCGTCCTATACAACACAATTCAAAACATTGTTTAAATAACAGTCGACAGCAAAGAATAAATATATCATAAATTATTTGGCATCAATTGGCTTTTTCTATCCTCCATTCTGTTAGGTAATGGTCACATGTTCGACATGTATTTGTTTATGACAATTCAATGGTATGTTATTACACATGAATGTTTAAATATTGTTTTAAAACATGTGCAAAGCTGCTTAAATTCATTATATTTCAAAGTGTACCAAGTGACAAAGCCTCTGAGACAGGAATATTACACCATCGTACCAGATCCAGGAGTTCGCCGATAGTAAATATTACTCTGTCGACAGGTACCCAGTAAAACTTAAAAAGATTACACGATCTCAATCGTAAATTACGTCCTCTTCCAAAACGTGATAACTGGACCTATTCTGGTGTATTTAGTCTTATCGTATAAGAAGTGGCCTGTCATTAAATCATGTATTACATCTCGAAAACATCCATCTGTTTTTCGAAAGCTGATTCATTTTGTACATCAACTTGGAAACAAACCTTGAACATTAGATGTGAGTAGTAAGTTTACACCACTGGTTGTTGTTTTAAAGCGCAGTGAACATATAAAAGTCCTTTAGTACAATATATCCATCGTAGGGACATCACAGTGGTTTCATGTTAAATGATATTGTTCCGAAATTAACAAGTATCGTTTCCTGATTCGAGGACATCTTCACTGGATCAGCCGCTGGACCACTGCCTACATGTATATTGTTTACACAATAATACGATAATGCCTTTTCACTAGAATGAATTGTCTGCCAGTACATTGCTTCATCAGAAGATTTTCTCTATGTCTGCCATTAGGTCTTCCTCCGTTTTGTCATAAGTTGGCGTTGTCCTAAATTACAAGAAAAAAAACATTGAATGACAAGCACTATTATTACTCGATTTCGTTAATAATGATAATGAAATGGATAAAAAAAAAAAAACACAAATAAATTTCTTTCCATTTTTCCCTGGCGTGTTCTGATGATTAATTAAATGTTATGTAATTTCAATATCTCAGATCTCAAAAACTTGACTAATAACATTAACAGGATCGCAATTGATTTAATTGGAATAATAAGTAAAAGGAGATAAGTCCTTACAGGTATATTATCTTTAAATTTTATCATACAAAAATGTTAATGATTTTTTCGATTATGTTGATAAATTTATCTGCATATAGTAAATTTGTACGTTTTCACAAGGAACCAATTAATCACTACACTGTTTGATAGGTATTCCCATTTATGAATGGTACAATGTTATATATCTTTCTCTGACACTTTTTATACATAGAACATTAAATACACACTCCATTCCAGTACTGTAAAAACACGGAAGTAAAGGTAAAGAGTTTGTAACGTACCTGGGTTTAGATTGACGACTTTGTTCATAATACGAATCTGGGTCATGCATGTCATCATAGTTCTGCCGGGATGTATATGGATCTGTGTATTGAATCAGATGAACAAACTTTATTTATTTTTCTTGGCAAAAAAGGACATCTATAGATTTCCGATATATGGACGTTTCTTTGGTGCTATAGGCAAACATGGCAAAATTAAGGCGCTGTTGATATATATAAGCATAAAGATCACTATCCCGATCGGTAAATCCGTTAGATAAATCTATGATATGAAATGTGTTTTGATTTTATGGAAAATTTAGGAAACGAGTCTGAAATAGTCTAAAGTTTAGATATCTCGTAAACATTTCTGGATTAAAAAAATTAGATTGACACCTAACAAAGCAATTTTTGAACTTCATGCGCCCTTTTTTTAATCTTATTTTCGCGATAAGAATTAAGGATGAGCACTGAGTTGTAAAATACAATTTTAAGCCTCGCTCTTTTTTGGCAAAATTCCGGTTTCGACACTAAATGTCTAAATTTGTACGCAGCAAAATAATATCAGTTGTACGGTATACATGGAATTATCATGTTCGCGTGCAATATCTAATGTCCACGTATTAAAATATCATGTTCGCGTGCAATATCCAATGTCCACGTATTAAAATATCATGTTCGCTTGCAATATCTAATATCCATATGAAAATATCACGTACGCATGCAATATATAATATCCATATTAAAATAGCGCGTACGCGTGCAAACCATTTACTAAATATACACATATCCAAAATTTTAAGCACATATTGCATTATTTACTGTACACATTCAAAACATTATATAACAGTGCAATATTTACTCTGCACATGTAAAAATACTTTGGTGCAGTATTTAAAATATATACAAAATATGTATGTGAGCATTTTGTTATGCACATATATAATATACGTTTTACGTGTGCATTTCATAAAACACAAATACAATGTAACGTCCGATGATGACTATTATTGTAAAGTCAGCTAAGAATTTCTTATCCATGCTTTTAGAATGCATGGTCCACCATTCACTCTCTGTTTGTCATTATTGATTAAGTGCTGTTACTACGACCAGTTCAGGTGGTGTATTATTGATGAGAAACGAGATATCATTGTTATTCACATTTCTCTGATACTTTACCACTAGCCGACTTCTATTAATTATGCACAGCTCTGGTACGTCCGATCCAAATTGGCATGTATATAACAATTGACTTCCTCAAGAATACACAACACCAGCTTGTTTAAGGCATGTTAAGCTTTACTTGTTGTGTATATGTACTAAATATTCTTACATCTTCATTCTAAACAAAACAGGATTTGTAAAACTTCGATATTAAAAATTAATGAAAAGGACGTGAAATAATTTGAAAATAAGATTCTTTTCCCGAATCCATATTTTTAAGACGAAAGCTGTTGTATTCACATAAACAAAGCTTTCACACATTGTCCACGGTAAACAATTTTTCAAGACAAAATCAATAAACTATCAGCTCTTGATTGTGTAATGGAAGAATCATTAAACGAGGTATCGAAAAGATTAGATGAAACAATATACATGTTTTCTTATTCAATTCGATGAAACAGTTTGTGTGTAAGTAGCTACTAGATTATGCTACCAATACCAATTTGATATTCCACATTACATTACGAGAAAACAATGACCACATTCATATTTCAATATTGTGGCAATAGTATGTCACAGTCTAGAATCGAACATTGTCTAGATGAGGATTATGGGGTTAATGGTGTAGAAAAATGCCCCCTCCTCTCCCCTCAAATATTCACTCAAATAACGAGAAGCGAGATGAAAAAGAAGTTTGATTTCGGTGTTATCTGTTGAATGTATTTCTTACTCTGCTTTTAAATTTATTCATGACAACATCCATTGTATGACGTCACTTTCACAATCAAATGATGCCATCATTTAATAGTTTCTCTTTATCATTTATGACAAAATGCATTATTGTACACTTTCGTTCAGCTCAAACATTTTGACAATACTGAAATCTCGTTCTTTTCACTAAACATAAACCATATTGACTTTAAGATTTCTCGATCTTCAGTGATAGAAATGTGAAGGTACATGTACACAGTGATTGTTTTCAACTTACCTGGTGTCATATCAAAGATATCTCTTCTCGGTGGCTGATAAAAGAAAATAAATTTTATTCAATAAAAAAACATCCTCGTTTGTTCAAATAAGCTGTAGCTGCCTTTCTATCTATTTTGACACTGAGTTGCTTTACTTTCCTATGAACGATAGGACATTTTGTGATTGACACCATTGATTGTATTTTCAAATTCCTTTCAATATGTCATATGCATGTTAACAACGATTTCACTGACTAAATATAGTCGGTCATCTCCAAATCAAGTCCATACACAGCTGTCGGAAGGGAGTAAGGCTAAATTATCTACAAGACCATTGGATGATGGACTTATGATTCGTAGACCATATTTCAACAAGAAAGTCCATTCAATAGTTCCATATGTATTGTTGTTGATAAGCCATATCATAAATATAGTAAAAGAAACTAACAAGACAACACCAACATGTCAACGTGATCATAATCTAAACTCAAATTCAATAAACAAGCCCAAATCTGATGAAGAGGAAATACATTTCACACGGAGACTCCTGAAAAAATTACAATGAGAATAAAACCAGGTGTTCCGGAAGAGTAAGCGTCTTCTGCTTCATAGACGATACCGGCATGCAAATCTTGGTCAATCCGAGTAATTAATGCCATGTTCTCAAACGAGAGCCAGTTACACAACAATGGAACCAACAGGCAACCTAAACAACATCAATTGTGTCTAGCTTGGTATCGCAAAAAGAAATAGAATATGCCTCAATTAGATTACAATGACGACCGTAAAATTCCCCAATAACTTTCATCGACCTGCAACTGTCCGTTTGTTGACGACTTCTAGCACTTAAATCGTGATAATGAGAAGAGACCCTTGGATATCGAATCAACTGCGACATGTAGACAAAAAAAATTGGGGATACAGGAATGTTGTAATCCAGAAATGGCAAATTCACAATAAGAAATTGAAATCATCAAGCTTATTTTACAGCTTAGTGGAAAGTTATCTATGTTGAGTTCGTGGTAGGCAAAGAGCGAGAAAAGCGGTTGATGTAGAAGAGCATGTCTTGTCATTTGATATATCGAATGAATCAATAGATCTTGTATAGAACAGTCGATCTCTTCCCATGTCTCAGGGCCGTAATGTTACATTTTCTCCTGTAGAAAGTTTTAGGCTATTTATCATCTTCATTATCTGATTATATAAAATGCTAGTTTGGTAGATGTTATTAGGGGTAATTACAAGGGACCGTTTTGTTTTAAAATTAAGTGCTACATTTGTGTAAATATTACCAGTTGTACTTACAGGGGCTGCTTTATTCGCTGCTTTAAACTTCGAAACATCGAATTCTCCTGTTTCCTGCTGAAACATAAAAAACAAAATAGTCAGTATAGCGCTATAGTTGTAAAACACTACGGGCTAAATCGATCGTTGTAAATGCATTGACTCTTACGCAGAATCGATGCAAGAATATGATTAGGTGTTTAATTAATAAGTTTTTTTCAGGTTTGAATTCTTACGCATCAACAATTAGATTTTGTTAAAGTAAGGGCGCGTTTCAACAATCAGAACTTAGTGCGATGGTTAGAGAGAGACAACAGGAGCAAAAACTAAATCATCATCATCATCATCATCATCATCATCATCATCATCATCATCATCATCATCATCATTCACTTCGAATGAAAGTGATATACTAGTACTCAGAAGTCTATATCATTTCCAGTTGAGGTACACTACGTGTGCAATATATATCCAAATTGTATGGACACGATTTCTTTATCAAGTATTGAAATTTATAGAATTATTGCATATAAGTAAAGTTTCCCAAAATCTATTTCCCTTGCTCGTTCTCTCGATTTACGCTGTCCCGACCCCTAGCATCCCTGACGAGTCTTAGATGGACGGAACAGGTATACGATAGGGTTTGCATCGTGTCTAAATTTGAATTGGAATTTGCTATTTGCTACCTTCCTTAAGCTATATTTGAACAGTAAATTTCAGATGGTATGTAAATATATTTCAATATGTCAAAACACAGGAGCTAAATCGTTAGACCCCTGGTTGATCGATACTCATATTATTTGCTCAACGTTGCAATAAAGATTTATCTGAAATACGATTATTTTTGTTTGAACAGTGTGACAGATTTTGATTCTCTGATTGTCGCACACTCTCAGCCAACAAGTCCAGACTGTACAATGAACTGCTCGTGACGATCTACCTTCACTTAAGCGACTAGATGCTCAGAATGTTCATTTTGTCTACTAAAACGCGAGATGAACATTGTAGTTCGACGTTTTGAACAAGCTTTGATCTTACAGGCCGATAAATGTTTTATACATACCATAGAATGAACTTGCCTGATAAGGAATATTGAGAAATACTAAGTGATCATAATTGCAAAATTAAATGTTAGCAGTTTCACAAAGTTATTTGAAATGATATACTAGATATATTTGATTTTAGATATACATTTGTATTTCATTATTAAATACTGAAATGTACTGTATTTTAACAATAGTTGATCAGCGTTCGTTTTAATGCTTTTTTAAATAATACAAGTAATAAACATCGAATTCCTTTTTCACGCCTAAATGCTCATTAATAAGTGATTAGATTTTGAAATTAATTTTCAAGTGAACTTTAATCATAAAACCCTTTGTGAACCTCTTACTATTGGAATGACCGAAGTCTCTAAAGAGGAACTCCTCCTGTCAATATTGATATTGACAGACTGTGGACCTAGATATTGCCTTTTGTAGAAACTAGTCTGTAGTACAGAAAGTATTGCTGTACTAGATGACTTACATATCTCTGTCAACTTAACCCAGAATTCAGTACACGTATTATCAAAACCTGGAGGCGAAATCATTACTTGGTATACATGTATACAGAAAGCTCGATTTATGATCCATTATAAGCGACCGCAGAAGTTACATACAGTGCAGAAAACTTTTTTCTGAGAAGTGTTGATACATCGTAGCAATAAAATACACATGTATAATGTTATAATTTATTATACTTTATATATATATAATACTTTATCTGCATGACCAAGGTACACAGACACATTTCCTTCGAATATATAGTTTATGATTTCAAAATATATTTGAGCTAAGTTTTAGCATTTTTGAGGAAAAATTAAAAATAATAGTGGCGAGGTCATAATTGTCTTTGTTCGATCTTATGACAGGGGTACCAAAACACAAAAAAGGACTATGAACTACTGATCGTTCTTTACAATAGGACTATTCAAGTAGATTTACAACTGTACATTTACTTGCCGAGTGCAATTAAATAAATGTTTACATGCCGTGTGTCGTCGATGAAGCAAAACCAAAAACGTTTATTGTTCCGGAACTCCTGGTCTAACCTTGCCAAGGTCCACCATGTAAATCTTTCTATCGTTCAGAATTTCATTTCGTTTCGCGAATTTTGAGTTTGAAGACAGATGTTTATATGTATTGGAACACGACACGAAAAAGTAAGTATAAAAATAGAAATATAAAAACGAAGTATTTAGATGAACTTTAAACAAAGAGTTACACAATATCAAGGGTCTTGTGACAAATCACTTGACATACACGAACTTATAGATTAATTCCAAGATGGATACATTCGTTGGGGATTATAAATATGCTAAATATGATATCAAATGTAATACTGATACTCATATCAAAATTGCCTGACAACATCAACAATGAAATGAGAATGAAAAACAAGGAACTGAGGTGTTTTCCAAAGTAAATAATATTTAAACCCTACAACCAACATCGGTAAGTAAACTTAATCTTATTTCATCATGTGACATGTAAGAAGTTCAAATGAATTTTTTCTATATAGATTCTAAAAAAATTCACTACGCTAGTTCTGTGTCTATGTTGGAATATAGGCAACGATAATTGTTATGTTCAAAGACTAATTTGGAAATGCGACACGGCAGGAAAGGTCCAGTTTATGACGTATCACATCGCCAATCTATAAAAATATTGTGTAATCAAATAACGAAAATGCTTGAATATATTATTTTTATGAAAATGGCACCGAGAAGGTCAATAAATATTACAGTTAACACAAACCATAGTCTATTTTTGTGTCCTATAAATTCACCTAAAGCGTTAGTTCTAAATCTGAACGACAATTTAGGACATCCACCTAAGTCTGCAATAAGGTAGCTCAAATACAACACCTATATCAATACGTGGTTTCAGGTATTTTGGTATATTTACTTTAACGATTTTAATGTTTAAAAGAAAAACTATATTTTGCGAAATATATTAATAAAATACATGTTTGATGGAGAACACGTGCGGAAGAACAAACAAGGAAGAAAATAAAAGCGTCCATTTCTGCACGAGACCAAATCTGGCAGCGAATCAATCGTATATTCATTATATTAATTAGTTTCCATTTAATTCGATAAACTATTTATACGATAGATGTCAATAATTCTTTTTCTTGTGTTAGAAATTGTACTACAATAAACAACAAACATACGATAGACTCATTCTATATTGAAAAGAAAATACTCATTATTTTGAAAATTGAATTACAGGATTTCAAACGATTGGTAGAGAATTTATCATTCATAAATGTTGAAAACGATGATAAACTATTGGATGGACAAAATTGTAAAAATATTTATCACTTCTTTGAATCTGAGATTAACGTTTCCATCTTATCTTATTTACTTTAAATTTTTTATTTATAAGGTTATCAAAAATGATAAATCTAGTTTTTCGAACCTTACATTATAGCTCCACACTTCAGTTACATTAAAATCATTAATTTCCATTAGGGCTTTATTTTCATTCCTTGGGTACTCCTACTCTACAAATATCCACGAGTTATTCAAATGTTAAATTATTAATCACATTTTTGAAGCAGAAATTATTTTCTGGGTACAATTTTTCAACAAAATTCAGAAGCTTACAAAATAACTCACGAAATTCGAGCCCCACAAAGAAACATGATTTACGGCAGTATAAGTTCGATAATATGGCTTCATAGCCGCATAAATAACTGGCATCTGTAAGACTTGGCACACGAGTCGATACATTTTTATCCCAACGAGGTGAAATGGCAGATAGGTGATAGAAGGATTAGCAGTAAGTGAATAAAATGTGAATTTTCAGTGCGAGGTTCCTTAAGACACTATCTTTCAAAATGACATCTCTTTATTAAAGTCTTGCTATTGTAATAATGATATAATGATATAAATGAAAGTGATTGTGAGGGAAATCTTTCACATATAACATATACACGTAAATAGAAATGGGAATGACAGTCATATGAATACCTGTGCGAGTTCCTCGTCGCTCTGAATGTAAAAAGAAAACATGATAGGTTATGATTATAATTGAGAATTTGTAATGAATACTGTAAAGGTTGTTTTTTCTCGAAGGTAAAAATTTTCGTTGTTCAACAACACATTTGAAGAAATAAGGAAATGATGAAACGGGCTATGGTATTCTCTATCTTTATCATTTTCATAGAGATTTGCTGTTATTGTATATATTTAGCCATTGTCTTACTTTAGCGTTAACGATATTGCGCTGAGATATCATTAAACACATTGCAGTTTATACTGGAGTAAAACATTGTGCTTATTTGTTCAAAACTTATATTGCGCTCAAATTTGATTTCACCAAAATAAATACGTTTATAGAATCTTTTGCAATTTTATTGATTTCTCGAAAATCGTATCTTCTCGAAAATAACAACTTTTACAGAAAGGAAGAAACGATGATAATTTCATTGGTCACATATATGAGGGAATGAACATGCTATCTTATGATAGGTGTAATATAATCTATAGTTTGATTCAAAGATTTCCAACGCTCTAAAATCTTAACATCGTTAGTATTCTGTTAAGATCGTGTGTCGTGAATCCGTCATTTTACATAGAGAAACATTGCAGTTATCATGTGTACAGAATGAAGATAAATGTATTTGAAAAAAATGTGGTCTACCTGACTCTCTTCTGCTGGCTATAATGAAATGAGAAAAAGCATGGTCAGTTCATGAGTATACTAGCAACAAATGCGATGTGACAAATATTTGTAAAACGAAATTCAATATACTGAAATCACCATTAGGAAAATCTACACAAATGCATTTTTTTTTTTTTTTTTTTTGTAAAATGATGACGCAATTTAATGGTATACTGATACTATATATATACTATTCTTGTGTTGTTTTCGTATGATAAAAATACTTTAAAACTTTAAAGGTAACATATTATTTATGAGACATAACACAAACATTTGCATAAATTGTAGATTCTGAAATAACGATATGAAAGCATCACAGCAGAAATTGCTCACTCAGTCTGACATCACTCCTCTAGAGGATACCTTAAATTGACCAAATTATTCACTTCATAATGTAAGAGAACTCTTCCAAAACGGACGTTTACTCAGCCAGATCTGAGTCTTTTCTGAATCTATTGTTTAATATGTTCGCTCTGAACATAATAGTAGTTATAACCAATGAAATCCGGACCCTGCCTATTCTGAAAACTAGCTTTGTTTTAACTTATCCTGGTATATGACTCGTTACAATGGCCTTCCTAAACCTTACTTGAACTTTTCTCAACACAATGACTTACACTCAGTAGCCTTTATCATTACTGACTACTTAGTGTTACGAACTGCTGTAAATCTGTTTATATAATGCTGTAATTAATAAAAAAAAAACTAAGGTGATAATCTACAGAACTGTGTCGTGTTTTCTTTTTCTACATTATTGCATTATCTTTTTTATCTGTGAAAAAATTTAATCTAATCAAATCACTAATGTGAACCTTTTAGTTTTAAATATTATGCAAACCGTGTATTGACAATTTTAGATCCTTATCAACTGGATACCTGTGTAAACAAGCCAAATATGTTAGCCCCGGTGACTTGCGGAATGGAATACTTGTAGTGCTGTCATAGATTTAAAAGTTATTTGCACGATAAATCAGTATAAAGGTAAGTTTAGTATCATAGATTTGAACCTGTATTTTGATTTATCTCCGTGATTTTATTACCATTTTCTCATCACGAAATTGACAAGACGAAGTCGCTGGAAATATTGATATATCAAAATACAACGTTAGCACATTAAATCACAAGGCAGTTAAAAAGCTGAGACAAAATGCTACATAAATATTTAAAGGATATTTTATTTGTAGCTATTTTTAGAATGTTTTATTTTTTTTACATAATTCTCCTCTCTTTCCAGTGCTTATATAGACTTGTAATATAGCTCTTTAACAACATAACGTTCACATAATGGGCGTTTTCCCTATGACAGCAAAGGCTTGGGATAAACCAACCCCCATCAACAATGCTTTACAAGCCATCAAATCTACCTATTAAACATGACAAATTACATCACTTCAAGTCACAATTCTGTCAACCTTTTGACCTCGTTATATCCTTGTATCTACAATAAAGTGATAGATTTACCTGACCTATGTTTTCACACAGGTGTGTCGGCCCACACACCTACCAACAAATAATATACAAATTCTTGACCCCCTGACAACTAAAAGGCGACAATGGCCCCCACTGCAAACTTTAGTCTTCATTTTTATCTACCTCGCTTTACACGAAGATACTTGTGTATCCATAAGGATACTCGACCTATGTATATATACATACTGTCATAAAAATGATTTCTGAAACAAGCATCTTGATCATTTTGAAAAAAAAAATATACATTGAAACGTAAAACGGGTGTTAATTCCGTGCCCATTTAGGAATGACTGCCTAAGATAGACCCATCTGCTATATCATTTTTATTTCTATCTAAATAAATATCAGTGAACAGGTCCCAATATTGTAATATTTTGAGTTGTCAAAGCTGCTGCTTTAGGTATAATGATATGAAAGAAAACGTTTGAGAAAAATGACTAGTAGTGTTGGAATTGTTTTATTTGAAATAATTTTCAAAAACTTGAACACGTCACCTTAGGATATTATAAATAGGACATGGAGATAATCTCGTGTCACTTTAAAGAGTCGGTTTATCGCAGATCATTATGATATCAGTGACGGTAATTAGGAAACGTAAGTATGTTTACAAGGTGTGCTGAGGTCTAGTTAACGTATGTACATAGCTCAAACTCTGGCCTAAAATATAGATGTTGCTTTGTAATGCCTATTTTACATGAAGCATTTTCTTCTCCTGTTCCATTCAGACTTCAGACCAACGCCGTGCTGTCCATTCAGACTATCGTGTCCGTTATTCAACAGATATATTGCATTAAGCCTGTCCATCTGACAAGACATTCATTCAGCTATCATCACTTAATTTAAAACTCAAAATATGATTCTTGAAATCTTTTTTACAAAAAGACTCAAAGCTTTTATTTCTCATACAAATTTCATTTACTTTCAAAGTAGTTTCTATACTTAATGATAAATGGGTATTCTTTTTACATACCATTAACAATCAACTAATACGTTGGTGCATGCAACAAGTGTTATTTGTAAACGTCTGTAAATATGTTTGTAAGTCTATTAAATAAGGGAGAAGCTTACTCCTCCGGAACACCTGATCTTATTCTCCTTGTACGTTTTCAGGAGTCTGTGTGAAATCTTTCTTTTGTTTAAGATTATGTTAATATATTTTCTTGTTGATTTTTGTATCGAAATCTGTTATTCACTTCTGTTTCTTTTGTACAATCTATTGGTAGGGGTCTAAAACAAATTGTTTTACTTGTTCTTTATAACAACAATTGATGCGGTTAACAGAACATGAGGAATCGATTATCTTATGTTTTAATGGTTTGGAGGAGGAAGAAGGAAAATCTAGACTCACCATTAATATACAGAAATTATTACAAATGGTTAAAAGCATATATGTGTTATTGTTGGTGTTTTATACAGGTTTGAGTCCGTTACAGGTCTCGAGAACCTTTACTTAAAATCTACTCTATTTACATCGGACACCATGACATCAAACGTATGTTTACGTATTGACGTCACTTACCATGAAAGGAGTTAAAGTTTAATGAATAATAAAGGTGTATTTACTACAGTCTTGGTTTGGTAGTTGTAACCGACACAGCTCCGTAGAAATGTATATGTAAAATTAATGTTAGCTTACTGATGAAACCAATAGACTAGAGTTTTATGTTAAAATATTTAAATGTTTTCTGTGTAGCACTCTCAGGCTGACGCTGATGGAATTGTATAAAATTCAGGTTTTAAAAAGATTGTAATCATAAGAATTCAGTTGTTATAGCTGATAATAATTCCCTGTAGATCTGTCTTAATTGTGTGTTACTCTTTCCAACTACTTTTAGTTTGTGAATTCCTTTCCTGGTATAATTTCATCGATATTTAAAGATTGTAAAAAATACACAAGTGAATACCACATTTCAATATTAACCTAGAAGTGGATATATTAGAATCAATGCATTATACTACATCATACAACTGTTTCGTCCTTATAGTACTCGTCAGTGATACTACATCATACATCTGTTTCGTCCTTATAGTGCTCGTCAGTGATGCTACATCATACAGCTGTTTCGTCCTTCTAGAACTCGTCAGTGATGCTACATCATACAACTGTTTTAGCATTCTAGGAATCATCAGTGATACTACATCATACATCTGTTTCGTCCTTATAGTACTTGTCAGTGATTCTACATCACACATCTGTTTCGTCCTTATAGTACTCGTCAGTGATACTACATCATACAGCTGTTTCGTCATTCTAGGACTCGTCAGTGATGCTACATCATACAGCTGTTTCGTCCTTATGGTACTCGTCGGTGATGCTACATCATACAACTGTTTCGTCCTTATAGTACTCGACAGCGGTGTTACATCATACAACTGTTTCGTCATTCTAGGACTCGTCAGTGATGCTACATCATACACCTGTTTCGTCCTTATAGTACTCGTCAGTGATACTACATCATACAACTGTTTCGTCCTTATAGTACTCGTCAGTGATACTACATCATACATCTGTTTCGTCATTCTAGGACTCGTTAGTGATGCTACATCATACAGCTGTCTCGTTAGTGGTGTTTATTGCATAAGTGAATGAAACCTGTTTTGTCAGGAGGTGATGCTACATCATACACCTGTTTCGTCCTTATAGTACTCGTCAGTGATACTACATCATACAGCTGTTTCGTCCTTATAATACTCGTTAGTGGTGTATATTGCAAAAGTGAATGAAACCTAGTCGGTGAGATACGTTAATCCTAAGATTTTTTTTCATAAATTTCATTTTACAAAAAAAAAATTAAATTTCATATCAGCAAAATCTAACATTTTTTTTTTTAAAAAAATTACTTAGGTTTTGGTGAAAGGATTTACCTTATAAACCTGAGTGAAAGCTAATGGACCGGACAAAAGTTGTATCGGAATAAAACCGATACATTAAACAGTTTTAAGGTGAAACTAATGAGTTTTAACCTGACGGCCCTATATTTAAACCATATATACGTTATCCACTCTAGAATTAATCAATTTATCGATCAAAATAAATCAGTCGAGAATCCGCTCGATAGCTATTGGTTATTGAGTTAACAAGTATATATTGTAAATTTCCATTTCTGATCGAGGTCGGATTTGGCCGATGTACAATCATTCTTTTTTCACTGTCGCTATCATTACATATATCTCGCCACACCCAACGGATTACATAACATGTTTTGTAATAGAAATAATATAATACACCACAGTTTATCTTTATGGGGAAAAAAACAAGAAAAAAATGTAATATTCACAAAACACTTACTGCAAATGTGAATTTTTCTGATGGTTAAATACCAAAACTGGGCTATTTTTCGTGTAAAATCATTATACGGACTCTTTACTTTCTCAGTTTATTTTTTCATCATTTTATCGATAATTCACGGTTATATATCATTCTTGAAAATAGTGAAAAGAAGAACCTACTGATAATATGGAATATTAATTTTATTGGGGGATTTATTTTCGTGGAAACTTAACCCTAACCCTAACCCTAACCCAAG